CTGAAATGACTCATTTAATCATCCAAAACGTTATGGAACACATTCATTAACTGAAAAATGTTGCATAGTGTGCCTTTAAATACATTGAAGGTTGATCAATCAAACAGTCTTTATTCTCTCTTCTTCTCTGTTTCAGCAGCTGATACTCTCCAGTCCAATTTATATGCTGATGGTCTGTGCCCAGCTTCCACATCGCCAGGTGTTCCTCATCTTCGCTGCAGTCGCAGGGCCAGCGAGGCCAGCATAGCCAGCCAGGTGTCTGGCCTAGCCGACTCTTACACAGCTAACAACATCGCCACCAGTAAGTTCACTTCCTAAGCCCCCCTGACTGTCCGGATTTCGCAGTTTAAGCGCTGACCCTCTCGTTTCCTCCCCTCATACGCCCCCCCCACCGCCTCCAGCGGACAAACATGAAGAGAGCCACACAAAAAGGCCCAGCCTGCTGTCACAGCTGCATCTGCCTCATAATAGATTTGCCTCACGGAGGGCAACGTTTCGCTTGCACAACAAAATCCGTCGGGTGTTCCCGAGAGCTAACGGTGTGGAATCTGAGCATAGCTCAGATCTTAGCACTGACGTGACCTCTGACATCACTGATGTCACATCTGACATCACAGACATCAGCTCGGTGCCCCCTTCGCCCAGGCTGCTGAAGCACATAGAGCAAGGTACCCTGGGAGTTGTAGTTAGAGGATGTGAGTGAGGGTTTGCTGTGGAACTGTAGGAGCTGTCCTCATTGCCCAACTTCTGGCCTGTTCCGACCTCAGATAATCTTCCTCTGTAGTCCTGAAATGGTGTTAAAAAAAGAAAAATTTCTGGCTTACCAGAAAACCAAGAACATGCAAGTTTCAAACCCTTCAAGTGTGACACATCCCTTTCTGTTTCATCGATAGAGCCTCTTAGTGAAACCCCCTCTTCTGCTTTAGACATAGAATCCATCTAAAGACTTTCTCTATACACATAGAAGCACTGATTGTGTCTACTTACCTCTGATTGCTGTAGTTGCCTCACGCTGGTGGGGGAGTAAGCGCATGGACTACGCTCTCTACTGCCCAGATGCTCTGACAGCATTCCCGACCGTGGCTCTGCCTCATCTCTTCCACGCCTCCTACTGGGAGTCCACAGATGTTGTTTCATTCCTGCTCCGACAGGTTTGTGCCCCTCTGCTCTCTGCTTTTTCTCATAGTAGCTTCATCTGGTCTCTTCCTATTTGGCTCTAACACCATCCTGGAGTGAAATATCAGCTGTGCTGCTGCCATCAACACCTTTGTAGATTTTGGAGATCAGCCTGTTTTTCAGTGCAGTCCTGTTTCTCTGACTGTGACTGGTTGGATTTGCTCTCTTTGTCCTCTTACATGGGAGTTGGCTCTGAGCTCGGCTGCCTGGCTGTGTTTCCTGGACGGGGCCGCCTGTGGAGCTGGTTGACAGTTGCCTTTAGTATCTCTTTTTCTTTCTGCTTCTGTCTCCTTGAACCCCAGTCGGCCTCAGCAGATGGCCGCTCACACTGAGCCTGGTTCTGCTGGAGGTTTCTTCCTGTTAAAAGGGAGTTTTTCCTCTCCACTGTCGCTACAAGCATGCTTAGTGTGAGGGATTGCCTTCAATTCAATGAGTCGATGCAATCAACTGGTTTTCCTTAGATAGAAAACTTTGAATCAATCTGAGTGGATGATCTGGTGAACAGTAAAGTGCCTTGAGATGACAGGTGTTGTGAACTGGCGCTATAGAAATAAACCTAATTGAGTTGAATTACTGTGAAGTGAATTACTCTGATGGCCTAAAGGCTCAGTTATGCTTGAAACATTTATCTTCTGCCAAGAAATAAGACTTGCAGACACAACAACTGCAGCTTTTATACTAACATCAGAACACAACCTGTAGAGGTAAAAAATAAGGTCATTTTTTAAAGTGACAGAAAGTCTACGTTGATGTTAGCAGCAATATTTTTATGGGTCAATGCGTGCGTTAAGAGTGAGCGTTTGTTTCAGGCTGGAAGTGAAGAGAATGATTCCAAAAAATGTTTAAAAAAAAAACAATGCACTGGACTTTGTTTTCAAGTTTGAAGACGTTTCTCTTCCCATCCAGGAAGCTTTTTCAATTTAAAATGTCAGGAATAGCATTGAGTTCGAGGTTTTATACAGTAGCCCATTGAAGCCTTGCTTTTATTTTGAAAACATGCAAATTGGAACAGAGAATGTACTCCATTAATTTAGCCATAAACCCCATCTGTTTGCTGTTAAAACGTTTCTTTTTTTAGGTTGAAGCCAAAATGAAAACCAAATCTTATTGGCGTGTTGTTCGCTACATCAGCAAATAAAGATGTTTATTTTTGGGCATGCAGGTGACTCAGTGGTTAGCGTGCACGACCCACGTATAGAGGCCTTAATCCTCACACGCCCGACCCAGGTTTAAATCCAACCTGTGGTCTTTTGCCGCATGTCTCCACCCCCGTTCTCATACCCCCTTTCCTGTCAGCCTGCTTTTTTTTAAAAAACCAGTCAGTTTCTCTTAAATATCTCTTTTAAGGTTTCTCTTTTGGTGCTTTAGGTAATGAGACATGAGAACTCAAGTATTTTGGAGCTGGATGGGAAAGAAGTGTCCGAATTTACGCCCTCCAAACCTCGGGAGAAGTGGCTTCGTAAGAGGACTCACGTAAAAATACGGGTGAGAATTGCTTTTTTTTTTTTTTTTTTTACACGTCTGAATTTCAGCAACAGAAAGTCTGTTGCAAGCGGAAACAAAATCAGATCTGGTCTCAGTCATTTTATTTAGGTTCAACTGTTCATCTACATGCTACTTATTAAATTAACAGCTATCACAACAAAGTTTAAAACTAGTGAAGATTTATATTATTTAACTGATATATTCACACAATACGTTTTCGACTACCACTGACTTCAACTTAAGGTGACCAGATTTCTACAATCTAATCTGGGGACATTTCCAGCTAAGAGATAAAAATAAATACATTGTATGAAAATTAAAATAGGAAATGGGGACAGTGAAGTTTTTATCCATTTTTACATATTTATTAATATTTAAATAAAAATCAAGTGTGAAATCCAGGAATCTCTCCCATTTCCTAATAATATTAATTAATCAATAGTTTTTTTTTATTAGTGTCATCTGGTAATTCGGTCTTCTTTGTCTTCTTCACTTTTGAGCAACAGAACATTATGTTTAGGGACAGGCCAGTTTGCATCAATACAGAATCTGTGGGAATTTCCCTCTTTTCCATTACAAAAAATTTAAATGACATTTTTTATAAATATACAAATTGAAAACATATTTTTTTCCTACAAAATGATAATTATAAAATGAAATGGCCTCTAGTTGTTTATGCTGGACAGCTGCGGTGCATTGGGTCGCCTCCAGCAGCCTAGATTAAAAACTGTCACTATTAAAGGTTAGATTTTTATATTCAGATTAAATTACAACCATTAAAACACATCTATAAATCTGGATCCTTCTCATGAGCAGCTTGAAGCAGCCACAACAAAAATACATGTTTTGTCATTACATGTAAAGATGAATGAAAAATAAGCTCTCAATGTGTCCTTTAATAACGTTATAGTGAAATCTAACAGGGATATATTTTCACAATTCTATTTTTAATTCATATATACAGCTGGGCTTTTTGTTTTAAATAAGCTTTTATTTTGATGTGATGTAAATGTAAAGATGATGTGATCTTATTGATACCTGTTACAAAAATCCACAACAAAAAGAATTATTTGGGCAAAAAATGAACATATGCTGGATGCTGATGGAGATTTTTTTAATGTCATATTAAATTAAGCGATCTTTTCTGCAAGTTTTGATCCTATGAATTTTATAATAATATAGTGCATGCTCTCCTCGAGCTCCGAGGAAGTCGGAGCGCAGCATGATGGGAGGAACAGTGGAGGCCGTAAGCTTTGCTTTGTGCAGGTGGTCTGGTGTACAGCAGCAAAAAGATTATAGAAAGAAATGTCACACAAATATAAATCTTAGAAAAATGTATGAGATAAATGTGGACTAAAACATCCATCCATCCATTTCTGTCACACTTATCCCCTGCGGGGTCATGAGGGATGCTGTCTGTGGGTCAGAGGCGGGGTCCACCCTGGGCAGGTTGCCTGCCAGTCCATCGCAGGGACTTAAACATGAGTTGAGACAAAATGTTGTTCACATTAACATTATGGCAAAAGCATAAAGTGTTTTATATAGAAAGAGCAGCACAATTTGCTACATGCTCTTCTGGTAAGCCCAGGAAAAGCAGAATTAGGACAGATCTACTGACTACTCTTCATCTTACCTCCAAGGAAATGTGATATTTCCTCATTCCTTCTTGGAATTACCATGAACTACCCAGGTTTTTAAACTAAAGAGAGCCCATTGTGAATGTTGAAAAGAGTGTTTTTTTTCAATGAACAGCTTAAAAACTTAAAATACATGTTTATTAATCAGCTAACCGTCTAAACGCTTTGTATCTTTTACAGGGTTTCCGCAGGTCATTCAATTATTATTTTTAAATTAGGGCCTTAATTGGCATTAAAATTCATTAAATGTGATTATCGTGACAATTACAATCCATCCATCCATCCATTTTCTGACACGCTTTATCCCTAGCAGGGTGCTGGTGCTTATCTCCAGCTGTCTACAGGCAGGTCGCCAGTCCAGGCATTGAAAATGCTTTATTTAAAATATTTAAAAAAAACATTTACAAAAACAATTTTGTCAGATATATCATATTACAATATATATATTAGAGAGTCATGGGTACCTGTTGATGGATAACTGCTGATTGCATTAAAAATTATTTAAAAGCATTAAATTAGAGTTACTCATTCCTGTGTAAACCCTGTTTTAGCCACTAGGGGCACTAACCCTATAACTCCATGCTTGGATCAGCAGATTGAGAAGTGATGGAGTTAGTTGTTAAATCAAGGTGACATTTATCCCTATAGATTAAATCCTACATCAGATTAGACAAAAATATGTCTGATCAGATGTTTCATATCTGTTTGGTTGGCTACCAACAATTTTTAGCTGTTAGCCCTGAGCCCAGAAGGCCTTAAAGCAGCGCTCAGGGTCACATGACTCATTCAGTGAGCGAATGACCCTCTCAAGTTACATAGGTTATTTTTTTTTTTAACTCATAATTTTATTGTTGTTAAAACTGATGTGCAATGCCATGCAGATTGTAGTGTTTTGTTACAATTCCTTTGATGAACAACAGTTCATTTCAACAGTTTTATATTTTTATAAACCCCACCTAACCACCGACTAACCCAGTGCCAGCAAAGAAAAAGAGCTTAAATAAAATAAAATAAAATTAAGAGAAAAAAAAAGGGATGAGTGTCAGTCCAGAATGTTGGACCCAGAATTCGAGGCGAGACAGGCAGTGGGAAAGTTCAAAGTGTTTATTATAAACAAACAGGTGCGCGGGGCTGCTCGTCTGCTGCGGGGCGGATCTCTGCAGGGATAGGAGAATACAGGCCATTGACTGGATGTGGAGCTGAATACGACTTGGAGCAAAGTCACTGACCTGATTCAAAGTTCAGTCCGTTCGCGGAGAACACAGCAGAATCCAGGAGGGAGGTTTGACCGCAGTTGCGGCGGGCGACGCCCCCAGAGTTCCTAGAGTGTGAGCAGTAGACGCCGAGCAGCAACAGAGTCCAGAAGGGAAATCCAAGGCCGAAGTCAGAAAACAGTCCCAGGTTCAGAAGCCGGTGGAATCCAAGATCAGATACGACAAACAGAGCAGACAGGGGCAAGGCAAAACTCGAGATCCTCAGGACAGAAACTGGTCAATATCAGGAAAACAGACAGACTTCAGAAAGCTAGGAAACGTCTCACAAAAACACACGAATAACCTGGCGCTGATGGGAGGCAAACACACAACTTAAATAGTAGAGGAACCAGGTGGAAATGATCGGCGATAATCAGCCGCAGAACCAATTAGACAGGGGAGCAAGGAGCAAAGGAAAAAACCAAACCATCAGCGCCAAGATCATGACAATGAGATTATTATCCCAAAACGAAAGTACTTTACATTGAGTCCTGTTTAGTAGTGAGAAGGGAGAGTTGCAAGTTTGTCAGAATAACCCAGTAAATGGTCCCATACTTCTACTTTGTAGAATTTTTTGGTTGATCCTTTCAGAAAATATTTCACTTTTTGGATCTTTAAGGAACATCATCATATCGGAAAGTAGTAATCGGGATTTCCATTCTAAAAGTATTCTCCGTTGAGCAATCAGAGTTGCAAAAGCAATAACCTTTTCCTTGCTTGATATCACAGCTTCACTTTACTACATAGGTGAGTTTTTGAGAATAGCAGCTGGCATGGTCTCTGAATATACAAGCACTTTATATTAACCTGAAAAAATAATCTCAAATTAAGCTAATTATTGGGTCAAGAGTTACAGCGATCCTTTGAAAATAGATAACATAATTTTCCTTAACAGAAAACAATTCATATATATTTGCTTGTTAGTAAACATTTGTTATTTTATATCAGTGTTAATGTAATAATGTGATAGAAAAAGTCAAATCTCACATAATGGAACCAAATTTTCACTTTTTCCCTATTTTCAGAACGTGACAGCTAACCATCGTGTGAACGATGCCGTGTTTACGGAGGACGGAGCGCAGATGGTAACGGGCCGCTTCATGTACGGGCCCCTGGACATGGTCACCCTCACCGGCGAGAAGGTGCCATGAAAAACAGTCAGCCGTGAACGACGGAAACAAGGAATCAATGTGAGATCAAATTAATTCAGAGTCAGTGAAACTTTAACCTTTATCTCTCTTTCAGATCGACATCCACATCATGACCCAGCCTCCGTCTGGAGAGTGGGTCTACTTTGATACGCAGCTCACTAACAGCAGCGGACGTGTCTCCTATGTAATCCCAGCAAACAGGAGACTGGGTATTGGGGTGTATCCTGTTAAAATGGTGGTCAGGTTTGTGTTTCATTTGATCTCTTATTTGTGTTTTTGTAAACAGACCTAAAAGTTTTAGTTTGTGAAAAAAAGAAATATATTTTACAAAGAGAGCCCGAATAAAGACAAACTCTAATGATGATTGATCAGATTTTTTCATTTTACGACAGATTAATTACTTGCTCCAAAAAAAATATATTTCAATAGATATGTGTGACAATATGAAGTAATCTAAAGGTCTGCTTATGCCCCGCTCCAAAAATATCAGTATTTTAATTTGGACTCCAGTAAAACGTCTTCAAACATGGAAACAAAGTCCAGTGGATTGTTTTTAATTTTCTTTTTCTGGAATTTAAGGCTTAGCAACAAGAAATAGAAAAGGCATCCATGGGTGAGTTTGCATGACTGGGCTGTAATAATACACTCATCAGTGATAGGTAATATATTGGTATTACTCGTCAGTATTGGCCGATCATCATCGTTTAAAGGAAACTGTTGGGTCATGTGACCGTGATAGTGATGTAGCAAGGGATTGTGGGTGAGAAGCAATATCGCCACTATGGTCAGTATTTATATGGTTTCAAAATGTATAAAGGATATAATATAGGTAAATATCAGTTATAAAATCATATTCAAACTGACTTTTGTATTTACAAATGTTACATTTGGCTATGCACATATTTTTAAAATGATCTGAAAAATGCAAATGTACCAGAAACCAACCGCTGAAGTATTCTCTACTTCTATCTCCCTGCTGTGTCTCTAACAGAGGCGACCACACCTGTGCAGACAGTTATCTCACTGTTGTGCCCAAAGGCACCGAGTTTGTCGTCTTCAGCATAGACGGCTCATTTGCTGCCAGCGTATCCATAATGGGAAGCGACCCCAAAGTTCGAGCCGGAGCCGTGGATGTGGTGAGGTACAGATAACCACCAGTCCGTCGCGTAGAAACGTAACGCAGAGGCTTTTGGGGTAGTTGATGAGCTCATGCCTCGTGCTTCTTTCCAGGTTCTGGCAGGATTTGGGCTACTTGATCGTTTACGTCACGGGTCGCCCTGACATGCAGAAGCAGCGCGTGGTGGCCTGGCTGTCCCAGCACAACTTTCCACACGGGATCGTGTCGTTCTGCGACGGGCTCGTTCACGACCCGCTCAGACACAAGGCCAACTTCCTCAAAACGCTCATCAGTGAGGTAAGCGCCACTGGAATGGGTCCTCATCTGTTTCACGAGAGACACCAGTGGGAATTTCAACACCATTTTTTCTGTTGCACTTTAATGCTTGAAATTCATGCTTTTTGAGAACATTTGTATTTAAACAGCCTTGGAAACATAGAGGTGGCAGCATCATGCAGTGGGGATTCTTCATTTCTCCTTAAGAGAAAGCATTTAGAGCTAAACGGCAGAAGGAACTCAATGCTCGCAAACTTAAAAAGTGAAAAAAAGGGGGATGGGATAGGTGCACGGTTCTAAAAAGACAAAGGCCATTTCTCAATATGTGTACTTGTGCGTTCTCGTGTTCTCATGTACTCGTGAAAAATAATCAGCGTCAGCCCTAGTACTGTTCCAATTCACAAGAACAGCAAACAGAGAACAGCCTAAGTCTTCGGATGTTGTTCTCGCGCCTCTCTCTTTACCCAGCATGCATCAGAGCAGACTTGTCGGTTCTTGAGATTGACAGCTGTCCCAGCATGCACTGCAGCAGCAGCAGCTTTCAATGGAGCGCTCACAGAGCTCAGAGTATTAAGTTAAAAGTTCTCTTTTCAGTTGCCGTGTTTAACAAAAATACGTTTTAAGATCATTTGAGGTGAGAATATTATACTTTTAAGCAGTGGTGTCCAAAGTACCCACATTTGTTACTTAAA